ATCTATCTATCTATCTATCTATCTATCTATCTATCTATCTATCTATCTATCTATCTATCTATCTATCTATCTATCTATCTATCTAAGTTTTTTAATTCGCTTAATGGGGGGTGGAGTCAAACTGGGTCCACTCGGTACGGCGGCCACTGATTGGCCTATTGTAGTCTGTCCCGGTTGATTATAATGATGAAGAATTTGATTGAATAAAGATTGGCAGGGGAAACCGAATTACTCGGAGAAAACCCGCCCGAGCGCCACTTTGTCCACCACGAATCCAACTAGAACAGACCCGGGATCGAACACGGGCCGCCGCGGTGGAAAGCCAGCGACTAAGGGGGTTCATACACGTACGAATCTGGCTCGCAAGTCCGACTGGGCTCGGGTTCCAATGAGCCAAACTCGTTCGTGTGTGGGTCGCCACGCTCATACGTGTGTGGTTAAATTAATCCGAGTCCGGCTCCTTGCCGAGCCTGACTCGCTAGCCAGACTCGTACGTGTATGGGCCGCTTAACCGCTTGAGCTATGGCACGGAGTGTCTATCTATCTATGGTCCTACAGCCCTACCGGACTTTCGCCGCTTTTTCAGTTTCGTAATCTATACACAGACTGTAGATCTCCATGCACTGGCGATCAGCCCGTCGCAAGGCCGCTGCCTTCACACAGAATAAAAGCACACAGATAGCCATGCCTCGAGAGGGATTGGAACCCACGATCTCAGTGTTCGAGCGAGCTAAGACAGTTCATGCTTTAGACAGCGCGGCCACTGTAATCGGCTTATGATGAATTATGGTAATTATTTATGTACGATTTATTCGAAGGATTAAACATTTGTCATTAAAATTGTACTTAGAATAAATATATTATTAAAATGTATGGAAATGCATTAAGGAATTTAACCATTCCCTAAAGGTATGTGAGAATTGTTGATTTATTATGTTAATACTATATTATGTTGAGCCTGTCCATTGTGCGAGATATATTTGAAGCGCAAGGTATAACGTTTCGGAAATTGGATACGTTTCCGTCATCAAGCGAAAGGACAGAAGGGATCCTACTCAGCTGAGCCCGTCGAAAAAAAAAATTAGTCTTCCTAACTCTTTCTAAAGGGCCAACTTCCCCCACGTAAACATGACGACAGGAAGGCACAGTGTGTATCAAATGTACCCCAGATAACGGACAGTGTCCAGCACAATATCTCTGCAAATCGAGAAGTCAGAGAATCCGGTTACTGATCATCTGTGGTATGTGAATCTCCCATCAAATTGAACTAGCAACTAATGCTTGCTTTTCTGAGGTTCCTTTACGAATCTTTCTTATCTGTCTAAGAATATTAGTGTGGCGTGGTTAAATACTGGTGATGAAGCGAGAATAAAACGTAGAGAAGTGAACTGTTCTTGAATTTGTCTGGAAAGACCTTGAAAGAGGAAAAGGAATGATCTTCAGCTAGGGTAGCCACTCTTGGAGCCAATATGCAACCCAGGGTCTCAAACACGATTCGTGAATGCTAAACTGAAACATTCGATCTAACTCATCTATGGTTGTACAATCCTTTGTTGGTAGGCCTCCTTGGACGGGGGATCATCCCGACGTAAGGCCTCAACCTGCACATAGGACAGCACAAACATCCATGCTTCAAGTGATATTCGAACACACGACCCCACTGTTTGAGCGGGCGAAGACTGTTCATGCCTTAGACCGCGAGGCCACTGTGATCGGCCGTTCGGTCTAGCGGTCAGCGCTGTAAAGTTTGTTGTTCTTAATGAAAACCTCTACCAGTGTTTGGCTCGAGCATTTTACAAGTGAGCCCAGTGTGAGGAACCCAACAGACTTCTGGGCGTCCCAGCAAAAGTTGTCCCCGTGCCTAATTAAATAAAAAGCACGCCATGAAGACGTAGGAGGAAGTGGAGGTATAACTCCGCCAGTGTTTCAAATTAATTTCTCCAGTTGTAAGCAAAAATACTTCATATGTTTCATTTTTTGGGTGGGTTCATTCACCGAAAATATTTTAACTGGAGGTTTTATGAAACTGTTTAATGTGGGAAAATCCTATAAATAAATAGGTAAGGATTTAGCTTGAGGTGGTAGTGACATAAATATTTGGACCGAAGAGAGATGAAGTGACAGGTTGGAGAAAACTGCATAACTTCATAACTTGTACTCTTCTCCAAGTATAATTAGAATGATCAAGTCAACGAGGGTGAGGTAGGTAGGGCATGTAGCACGAATTATGTAGAATGGAAATACATGCAGGATATTGGTTGGAAAGCCGGAAGAGAAGAGACCACTGGGAAGAACAAGAAGTAGGTGGGTGGACAATATTAAAATGGATCTTAGAGAGATAGGATGGGATGATATGGATTGGTTGTTCTGGCTCAGGATAGGGACGAGTGGAGGGCTCTTGTGAACACGGTAATGAAACTTGGGGTTTCATAAAATGCTGGGAAATTCTTGAGTAGCTGCAGAATTGGCGGCTCCTCAAGAAGGGCTCAACTCCATGAGTAAGTAAGTAAGTAAGTAAGTGACATAATGTAAAATTTGTACTGCATTTGCATTTGGTCAGTTTCATGCTCCTGCCGCTTTATCTCCGGGGAAACAGCCTCTGGTATCCATTTGATATAAGGTTGGATGGGCCCCAGAGCCGGTCTGGACACTATGGAGAGGAGAGAAATTTCTTGCCCCTGGCCCATAGCTTGTCGCTGTACTGACTGAGCTATCCCGGCTCTATGTTCCCACATTTCAATCACTATACGAAATGAATATCACTTCTAGATTTTAATGGCCTGTGAACCGACAAGAATTAATATAGTAATGTTATATTTTAAAATTCTGTTCCAAATTTCTCGAATAAATTATATATTCTTAGTTCATTTACTGACTGCATATCATATGTTGAAATTACATCATGTAAAACAGAATATGCGCATAATCGGAGCTAGGCCTATTCGAAAGAGAAGACACCACGACCTACAGTATCGTAGGTATCGATGCAAAGTTCAGCAAAATAAGGGGCTGTGTAGCGGCGTTTCAAACCGCAAACCTCGTAAATACTGGTCACACACTCTAAAGGCGCGTCCACAATACTCGTGCTCGTGTGACTCGCTATGATCGCGAGTAATGTGGACGATATGACAAGTCATGAGACAAGCAAATTTTTAATTTTTAATTTAAAAACTATAGCCAATAAATTAAAATACGACTACAGCCTATACACACTACGAGTAAATATACGGATCCTCACGCGCCGAAGCCTGGCGAGCAACTGAAGTAGTGTGGACGAAGATTTACGGGCACAAGTAAAAGCCAGACGAGTCTCCCGACGAGCACGAGCACGAGTAATGTGGACGCGCCTTTACACTGTGCCAACCTGCTATTTCTCCAATACAGGAATGAAGGGTAAAGGAGGCGGTAGAAAGTCCAGACAAAACAGTGGAGAAGAGCAGTAGGGTATTTATGATGCAAAGTGAAAAATAATTTTAGAAAATAACTGGGGTGTATTATGTATGCCTTTTCGTGGTTTTCTTCATTATCTCTAAGTGCAAATCAGAGCAGATTTTGCATTACGTCACTACAGCCTCAGGTAAAATTCTTACCTATTTATTGTTAGGGTTTTCCCATATCAATCAGTTTTATAAAACCTCCAGTTAAAATAGCTTCGGTAAATAAACTCAAAAATAAATCAAACATATGTAGTATTTATGCTTACAACTGAAACATTTGTAGGCTAAGATAACTTGTACTTCGAACAGAGTAAGACAGCGTTCCACGGGAGCAAGTACGTTTTATCGTGTTCTTCGGAAAATTAAAAGGAAAAGTCTAAGGTTTACATCAGCAAAAAAAGCACATTAAAATACATTTTTTTCTACCTAGGCATGTTGTGCGGTTTCTATGTCAGAGATCGGACACATTTGTGAAGGAGCGAGTGGCGGCTCCTAGGAGACACCTCATACCTCATTCCGTGTTAGTCTACCGAAAGGAACGTTAACTCAAATAATTATTTTATGAACAGTCCTACATCTTGTTCTATTCTCACATCAAGATATTTCAAATGTACTCGTTATAACGACTGGCTATGGGCTGGACGACTGAGGAGTCGAGTTCGAGTCCCGGTAGGATCAAGAATTTTCTCTTCTCCACGTCGTCCAGACCGTCTCTAGGGTCCACCCCACCTCCTATCCAATAATTACCGGGGGCGCTTTCCCCGGGGATAAAGCGGCTGGGGTGTGAGGCTGACCACTTACCTCCAATTAGTGCAGAGATCAAGAAAATGTAGATCTATACATCCACTCCCCCATACGCCTTCATGGCGTAGTGCTTAATTAATTGAGCACAGGGACAATTTTACTGTTAGAAAATACTAGTTAATATTTCTTTGCTTTATTCCGTGAACTCAGCAGGTGCCGATCAGTAATCGCTCGGTCTAAGGCATGAACCTCCTTCGCCCGTTCTGACGGCTCTGACACTGGGGTCGTGGGTCCGAATCCAACTCGAGACATGGATGTGTGTGTACGTTTATTCTGTCTGTGTTGTTCTGTGTGTAGGTAGCGGCCTTGCGACAGGCTGATCCCCCGTCCAAGGAGTTCTGCCGACTGTGTACAAGATCAAGAAACTGAAAAATGCAGCCAAGATCCCAAGGGCTGTATAGCCATAGAGAAAAAACACAACACTTAATATGGACACTCCATAAATGCGACGTGTCTTACAACATGTTTCAACTCATGAAGCTATCACCAGGTATTTGGCTTGTTTACATTCACCTGTATTCGTCTGCTAGCGTTCCTACACTGACTGGAATACTGGTATTTAAGTGGTAATAATTCCGTTACATATAAAAATGTATGTTCGACTCAAAGATTAAATATTAATAGTTAAA